TGATCTCAGACCCTGGCCTTTCTTCTATGTCCAAGGCCAGGGCTTTCACACCACTGATGCATGATTGAGGGTTTTCGATTGCAGTGATCTCAGACCCTGGCCTTTCTTCTATGTCCAAGGCCAGGGCTTTCACACCACTGATGCATGATTGAGGGTGTTCAATTGCAGTCTGAGTCAGGTCGGAGTCAGTCCATGGGTATCAACTCCTCCGCTGTCTTTGTATTTGTATTTGTATTTGTATTTGTATTAACTGTGTATTATCTGGTCGGTTCTGGGAATCTGTGCCATACTTATGACTGTGTTTCACGAGTATGCAACATTATGCCTTGAAGGAGACATTCAATGGCTTCAACTGACGCTGCCTAAGAGTTCTTTTCAAATTCTGTCCGTTTACCCGAGGACTGTGAGAACCTTGTCATCTGTAGATTGTTGTAGATAGAGCACCAATCAGTGGAAATGGCACGATGGGCAAGGAAAAGGCTCGAGGGTAGTGGATATTTAATAATCAGTTCAGCTGGTTGTCTGAAATGCAAAAAGCTCCATGTATGTTGGTGTTATGCTGCACGCTGAGGCCTCCCACACCAGGTCTGGGAGGTCCGAGCATTGTTTTGGGAGGCTTCTCGACTGCAAAGGTAGTACAGAGTCTGATTCCAACGGAATCCAAGGATGACCGATGATGGTCTGCAGAAACAGCGTAAAGGGAGACAGGCCCTTAGTCAGACTACAAGCAATTTCAGGGGGGTATCTGATACGTGATAAAGTTTGCAACTCTCTCAGAGGACCTTGATTTTAGGCCGGCGGGAGCGAAAGGATTTCATGCATCTCAGCAGTGTGTTCCATGTCCTGGTCCTGACGATCCAAAGTCCCATGGACCATAGTACAGTCCAGTAGGTAGGATAGCTAGGCCTAGGCCGCAAGTCCTGTAGACCCATTAGGCCCAGTTCGTCCATTCAGTCCAGTCAGTCCAGTCAGTCAGTACGGTGTGTTCAGCAGCTCAATCCCAGGAAAGTCGGTGAATTCTCCAGATGTCTCGAAGCCCAGGTGCGGTTGACAGCTGGCAAGTGACTGTACCAGTCTGGAAGTCCAAGATTACGAACTGAAGTGTTGGATAAGAAAGTCCGACTGCAGCAAAGTGATTCCATCGAGTTTGCTGCGGACATGCTTCTGCAGTCTTGTGTGACCAAGTATCGAGTGAGGCTGGAAGTAGTCGAGAGGTTAGACAACGGCGTCCGCTGCCACAGCAATAGCATGTGTGTGTGTGTGTGTGTGTGTGTGTGTGTGTGAGAGAGAGAGAGAGAGAGAGAGAGAGATCAGAGATAGGAGTAGGTTTCGCGTTGAGCATCACTGCTCGACACCTTGAGCACACACACACATTGAGAGATTACACGAAATTTACACTGGAGTCCAGAGATGCAAAGTCCAGATATGCGCAGCGTAGAAATTCCAAAAAATTATCACATTAAACAGTTTCGGAGATCCAGTCACCAAGTGCTGAACAGTGCAGAATTTAGCAACCCAATACTAGCGTTCTCATCTAAGGTAGGTGACTCTCTTTTCTCCCTGGCTCACTCTTTCTTTCTGTCTGTCTTCTCCCTCTGTCTGTCCCTTCTGGTCTTCTTCATGCATGTGGTATCTCTCTCTCTCTCCAGTCTCTCGCTGTCTCTCTACTCTCTCTTTCTCTACTTGAGAATCTTGACTCTGAATGCATCCGCTGCTACTCAGCTCTCTCCCTACTACTAATGCGTTTATGGCCACCTTCCCTCTCAGTGCAGCGCTGCCCAGCAGGGCTCTCACGCGCATGCTACTCGCAGATAGCGCACAAGCGCTTCAGCTGCACTTCGGCACTTCTCACGAATGAGCTTCTGCCTTCAAATGTGGCTGCCCAGTTCTTATATTGACTTGGACTGAGCCTGAACTCGTCCCAGCCTCTGCTTCCTTGGCTTGACTTGGACCTGCTACAACATGCCCATGGCCTGTTTGCTTCAGAATGTCCAAGGCCTCGTACTTTCCCGAACTTCATTGGTGTGCTGCTGCTTGGGACTACGAGTCACGTCTTTTCGTCTGTGGAAAATGACTTTTGACTGTGGGATGTGACTCTTGCCTCTGGGACACGACTTTTTCCTGGAGAAGTGTCATTTGCCTGTGGGACACGACTTTTCAATATGAGACGTGACCTTTGCTTATAGAATGTAACCTTTGCATCTGGGATGTGACTGTTCACTGGGTGCCTGTTGGACTTGACTCCTAAGGTACCTGACTGTGACTTTTCTGAAACTGACCGACTTGGCATCCCTTGGCCTGTGCAATCAGACTCGTTCTCAAACACCCTTTTCATGCATGTAAACAGCAACGCAGCATACTGGCGACATGCGCCCGCTCAAAACTCAGAGATATGGCTTTCAGATACGAGTTCACTCTCATTTGGCTATGGCGACTTCAGCGCCCAAACATCTCACTGTTCACATACACTGGATCACCCTGGATATCCCACACGCATCACTCTAACACTCGAGCACACACATACACTCACTACTAACTACAGCTATGGCAGCTATGGCTGCCTCTAACCTAT